GCCGGGCTGCCTCTCTTCTCGACGGCTGGCCTCTCGCTGGCGCACGCCCCTCACCGGAAGCCCCGCCCTCCGCCTCGGGGCTTCCGGGCTGCTGCCAGGCATCCGCCCGGCCCGGCGCTCGCTCGGACGAGTCGGCTCGCTAGACCCGCTCTTCCCTTTTCAACCAAGGCAGGACCCCCGAAGCAGCGTTCTTCACTTGAATCGAATACATTTTAATTAAAGGCATAAAAATTAAATAAAGCTGTTCCGTTAAAGAAAGGTCTAAGACGCCCCAGATGGCCTGATGCCACATGAATAACAGGCTATTGTGAACCGCAGTTGCCAGAGCTCTTCCTGAGAAAATAAGGCATCGGCGTTTGCATTCCAGAGTTTGCTTTATCTGCTGCAGTGATTCCGTATCAGCCCCGAATCGAGGCTCTTTTAGGTGCAGTTCTCGTAAGGACAAGCGAATGACCCTCTGGCTCCGCAGAGGCTAAAACAGCAGCACCAGCTGTGCCCCCAAGAGAAACCTGATCCTCCAGCCTTCAGGAACGGGCAGGCCAGGACTGCCGTGCCCTGCCCTGGGGAGGGAGTCTATTCTTGAAAGATGCAACACAGCAGGGATGTCAGTGTACAAATAAAGTGCAATTCACACCTGAGTTCAAACAAGCTGGCCTGAAACAGAGTGCCTGATGCCAAGCTACCCTCAGTCACAGCCACACCCACAGGATCCGCTGCACAAGGAACTCAGAGGACAGTCACAGTTCAGCTTAGTCCCTCCCTCCTTTACCTTCCCTAGGTCCTACACCGGCACGTTCTCCTTCCGGTCTGGGATGTATGCCGGGAAGCAATGGCACATCCTTCTGACACTCTTTTGAGCAGAAAGCAACTTCCTGGCCTGCTTTCATGAGTCAATGGAATCACACCTGTGGGGGCAAGAGGGTGCACGCAGGGCAAAAGCGGCAGGGCTTGGATTGTGACACTGTGTCCACCGTCTTGCCCATCAACACCCCCTCCGTGGATGCTGCTGCCTACAAGCCCCCTGAATTGTCATCCTCCCTCAACCCCAAGCCATTTTCTGGGCTGCAGAAGCACCCATTTCCTTGCTGAATACATCCTCATTATTGCTACAGCCGCCACAAGACTAAGCCACGTTTCTCAAGATTCAGAAAAGTGCAGGCTCCATCAGACAGCCTCCTCTCCTGATCAAATATTGCACTGCTCAGCTTCCTTGATCTTCCTCCAGCACAGCAGGAGGAATCTGCAGGGGTCACGTTCCTCCTGTTAAATTAAGCAGCTCCATTGGGAGGAAGTCTTGTTGTATCGGCCCCCTCCTTCTCCAGTCAGTCAGCTCACTGCATAGAGCTCCTCCCGGTCGTTCTTACAGATCTGGTAACGGCACAGCAGTTTACGGGACCAGGCCCACGGCTCCTTCTGCTTATCTCCAGGAGGAAGGAGGAAGGCCACACTGCTGGCCACCAGGATATGCCAGATGCTGTGGGTGTAATAGTAATTCTCAGTGGTTTCCATGAAGACGTACACTGCTATGGCCACAAGTGCCAAGCTGATGCCGGGGAAGAGGAAAAAGGCCCAGCGCTTCCAGGAGGGAGGGTAGCAGCGGCGCCGGGAGATCCCACGATAGACCTGTGGGAGGAAAGTGGACTTACTGGGAGCAGGATAGCCAAGGGACTTGCCAGCCTGCTCCAGGCAGGGAGCTTGGTCAACCTGTCGCAAAACCTGCTTTTAACGTGTCTTGCATTCCATTAAGGAAACTCAAAGGCCCATCAACCTGGTTGCAGTCAAATGCCTAAGGAGAAAATGGCAGTGGTCTTCCTGCCCCACTGAGCTCAGGGGTTTGCTGATCGCAGGGAGGGTTGGGGAGGAAGCCCAGAAGGCAGCAGTGACCTACCCAAATACTGGCCATGATGGTGAGGGCAAAGACACAGGGGCCCATCATGTTCCAAAGCCCCCTACGGTCCAGCTGCAGTGACATCGCAATGACCAGGGTTCCCAGCACACAGAGGACCTACAGCAAAGGAGAAAAGACCAGAAAAGAAGGTATTGGGCAGTTCCAGGAAGTTGCTGATGGCAGCTGGGATGCCGAGGGGGTCTGCCCACTCTCTCCTCTCTTGCTTGCCTTGGAACGGAGAACCCCAGCACAAATGAGGGTGCAAGGCCAGCTTTCTAGCCATCACTCACCCCACCGCTTGTGCCAGTTGCTCACACTGCAGTCAAGAGGTGCCAGGCGAGTGTAGCTCAGGGGGAAAGTTCACCCCTTCCCTCCCATCATTTGGCTTCCTCCCCATTTCTTCCCAACTTTCAATTAGGGACTGCCTATGGCTCCCCATACATACATATTTCAGGATCTTCTTGACTCGTGCCATGCACAGAATGGTCACCCAGATGGAGACGACAGAGCCCAGAAAATCACAGAACTGCAATGTGTCGTAGTCCATAATGCACATTACAGCAATGCCAGGCTGGTCGCAGGCGTGGTAGAACTGTAACCACAGTAGGGAAGAGAAACCAACCTGTCACCCAGACAGCAAACTCTCTATCAGCCAGGAGGGCGCTGCTGGCAGCAGCTTTTCTGCATCTTCTGGAGCTTAGCCCAAAAGAGGCTCCTGCCTCCCTTCCTGGCCTGGAAGCCCAGTGGGGCCACAGGAACAGAGAACTGCAGGAGCCCCACCTCACACAGGCAAGCCAAGAGATGGGAGCCGGCTCGCCTGCCTTCCACCGCAAAGAGCTGAACTGCTCCACAACATGCACTGGGTTAGAGAGAAATGAAGGACCTACTGTGGAAAAGAACATGGTGAAGGTATACACAGAGGCTTCAACCAGGTGGTAGTGGTACAGGGCAGCAGCGATGGCAGGCAGGAAGAGCAGGTTGCTGAGAGTGAGCAAGAGGGTGGCCAGGATCTGGGTGCCTACGGACTGGGCCTTGGTTCCATCTGTGCAGCTCCAGCCAGCCCAACCTGCCAAGAGGAAAAGGCAGGGAAGCACGTTCTCAAACTCAACCAATCTTTGTCCTTGTTTTCCTGGGGGGCCGGGGGGAGGGTGCTTACAGAGTGGTGCAGCCATAAGCCCGCCAACACACTTGACGTCATTTCAGAGGAGTGTGTGGAGCAGGGTAGCCCTTCCCAGAGGCACCCAAGAGGACAGGCAGCCCCATGCAGGATGTGGATCTCCTTTCTAGCAGGAGTGGACGTTAGGGAGACGAGCCCCTGCTGGGAGACCTGGTAGGTCCACCCGGAGATCTGAAGGCAGGGGTGGGGCATCTCTTACCAGCCTTGCAGATGCAGCCAGCATAGAGGTAGCCATGGCGCCTCATGAGGCTGCACTGTCCATATGTCCCGCAATCGTCAAAGCAGGGGGTGAGGTAGGCAAGCATGGCGACCTGGCCTTGAGCCTGATCACAGTCTCTGCACGAGAGAGGGAGAAAAAGAAGACGGGCCCAGAGAGCCTTCCAAGGGGCAGCAGCTTCACTCCTACTGGAGTTCCCAGCCCGGGAAACCAGGGGTAGGGACAAAGCCACACTAGCAGCACCCAGACTTGGAGACCCAGAACTCACTCTGATTCCTTTGGGCAGAGCAGCTTCAGGGACAGGTACCAGTTGTCAGATTCTGGGTAAGGGACAATGACTGCAGCTTCACTGGAGGACATGCTCAAGTTCAGTAGGTAGCCCTGAGAGAAGGCTGGGTGGGAGGGGAAGAGACCAAAAAACCAGCTGACCCTAGTTCTGCACTCCAGTTGCGTCCTTGGAAAGCCACTGGCTTCCGTGGAATAGGCCCGCAGGTGCTCCAGGAAAGGGGAAATAGCCTGGGCCATTGGCAAGCACCTCTGCCCACCACGTACCTGTCCAGCAGCCCCAGGAACCATTCAGGAACAGTGCAGGGGATGTGGGACTCAAGCAGGCCAACACAGTGGCATTTCCAAGGCCCACAGAAGTCTGCAATGACAAAGCTGACCCCAGTTCTGAATCCTGGCAGGAGGCAAAACCCGTCACCCCTTGGCTGTCCCTGTAGCAGGACTTCTCACCTTGTTCAGCATCAGGTTCAGCACCAGATTCCCTCCACTATCCATGCCCGAGTTTAGGTTCAGAAGGAGCAGAGTGGGAACTTCGCTCTGCACAGGCACATTGGAATCCCCGAGGACCCGGAAGCGCACAGACGCCACGTCCAGCTCCTCGCGGACAACTGGCTGGCCATGCAGGCAGGAGCTTCCTGGGCCAGATGCATTATGGATGCTGCCCATGGCAAGCCATGTGCTGTTGAGGCTGCCTCCCAGCACTGGCATCCCCTGGTTCTGCTTCAAGCTCTGGTAGAAGCCAAGGAAGGAGCTGTTGCCTCCTGGCTTGCACACTGCAAACAGGGAAGCAAGCATATGCTTCACAACAGAAATTGGGCAGGACGATCGTTCTTACAGCCAGATGGTTTTCTATACAAGGGCAGATGGAAACAGGGCCCCCCCTTCCCCAAACCAGGGGCCACGAGTCTCTCACGTCAGGTGAGAAAAGAAACAAGCAGCAAAGAGGTCTGAGCAAGAATTGACAGAGCCTGTGCTGACTCCAAGCATCTCTGTGAGGGGCACGCACCTATGAAGAATGCCGTCATCTCAAAGGAAACCCTGGCACTGGCACCACCGAGGCTCTCCACCGTGATCCAAACCCACCTTCCCCATGGTGGGGAAGCCAAGAAGACACTGCAGGCCTCCAGGCAGCGGAGCACCTTCTGGGAAGCCCGAGAGAGCCCAGCTGAGCCTAGCGTGACCTGGAGGGCGCAGGCTGCAGCAGCGCCATTCTCCATGCATTTCCCCAGCTCAAAGCGCAACCCAGCAGTGTATTCGGGGACAAAGACCCTGCAAGGGAGGCAGCAACACATTTTGGATGCAGACAGTCCAGGGACTCAGCAGATGCTCCTTGGGCTGGAAGGGGCTAGCTGGATGCTGCCACTCCCCCCACCCCCCCATTCTACTCACTTGGCATGAAGTGGCCTACTAGCCCCCTGGGACAGAGCCTGTGGCATGGGCACATCAGGCTCAAGGACTACCGTGTCCACACGGCGCAGCACAAACAGGTCAGGCTGGAAGGTATAGGTACAAGATCTGGAGAAGCCCTGCAGGACAGAAAGGTCAACCTCTGGTCAGGAAAACTGCCCTGCTCGACTCAGGTCCTGCAATTCCTGGCTGGCACAGAGGATGCCCCCTTGGATCACAGTGTACCAAGGACTTGGGCTCGGGGACCCCCAAGTGTCCCACAGCTGCCAGCTCTGTTCTCACCTTCACCTCAATCTTGCTTGAGGCTGCCGGCAGGTGGGCAGCGAGAAACCAGTCACCAGCAGCCGGATTGGTGAGGTTGACAAAGGTGCTGTTCTGCAAGCCAGCAGCCAGTGTCAGTGTCTGACTGAAGGACGGAGGTATGCTTGTGTTCACGGGAAACTGTGTGCCCAGCGGGTTGATGACTGGAGGGGCACCATGGCGGATATGGCTGGAGGGCACAGGACAAGAGAAGAGCGTCGAACACTCTGCCCCAGGCCTGGGACAGAGGCCCAGAGCCCTCCAGAGCTGGTACTCCACGCAGGGAGGTGCAGCAGCAGCAGGGGAGAACGTACGTACAAGGTGACCTGAGTCTTGCCACATCCGGGGCCCTTCTCTCTGGAAGCCTGCAGGAGCCAGCGCAGCAGCACTGTGTCCTCTGGGACATGGAAGCGGAATATTTTGGCACTTCCATACCAACTGTAGAAGGACAGCGTCTGCGAACTCTGGGAAAAATACTCAGAAACAAATGCCGGACCTGAGAGGAAAGGGAGGACGGCCACTTAGAGAGCCCTCAGGCACCCGGCCATGGCTCCCAGTGGAGAGGTCCTGGGCCACTGGTCAAGCACATGGCTGAATTTCCCAACCTTGGCAGACCTGGCCTGGTTTCTCATTCCATCGTCCTGGGGCCTGGCTGGCCACAAATGCCATCGTCTCCCATTGGGGTATCAGATGGATTTCAGCTGCTGCACTAGGGCTTGGAAACTGGCTGGCTGGGCCCAGGAATGACCTTGGAGTGACCGTCAACCATGCAGGCAGCCTCTGAACAGGAAGTGCCCGCCTGCCCATTACTAGACCTCCCGAGAGTACCAGGAAGGAGTCAGAGAGCACAGCTAGCCCGGTGCAGGCAGGCAAGCAGGCACACACCCAGCCTGCGGGCATCGCTGCACTGGACTTTGCACAGCAGGGACAAGGGCCACGTTTCCAGAAAGACCAAGCTGGCAGACCCAGAGGAGGAAGGGAAGGAAGGAGGGAGGGAGGGAGATTTCCAGCTGCCTGAGGGCTGGGCATGTCCAGCCAGTATGACTATTGTCGGATGAAGGCACTACATTTCCCCCAATGCCCTGATACACCTACGTGTCACCAGGAAGAGCTGTGCTAGTCAAGGAAGCCCAGACCGGAGAGATGGAAGGAAGCGCCCTGTGGAGGCAGCCACAGGACAATGTCCCTGCAGCCTGCACCAGGGCCCAGCACCCTTCACCTAGGAGTGGAAGCCAGAAAGGCCAACCCCCCTCGCCCAACTGTGTGTGTGTGTGTGTGGCGGGAGGGGGAGTCAGCTATATGGGCACTGGCCTAATTGGCCACCCTTCTGCAGAAGCCCCAGGCCAGATGGCACAAAGCCCTGCCAGCATGAGGCCCTTTGGAGCCACGGGGGCCCCAGGGGATGGCTGCCCCACCCGGCCAGTGGCATTTCCTGCCTGCGCCGTCGCCCGTCTAGGGGAGCCTGTCAGGGCTCCTTCGAGGGGAGCCCCTTCCCCCGGAGCAGAGCAGCCTACCACCCTCACGCAGAACGGAGAAGGGCCCAGGAACGTAGCTGCCAGCCGCACCCCCGCTTGCCAGAGCGCAGGATCCTGGGGGACTCGGGCAGGGCCAAGGGCAGCGGGCGCAGCTTCCCCGATCTGCCACCGGCGCCGCGCTGGGGCAGAGGCGGCGCAAGAGGACGCCCGGCTCACCCTCGGCGCTGTCGGTCCGTTCAGCCTCCTT